GCGATAAAGAAAATACAATATCTTTATCATAAACCGCCTCCAAAATGAGGTTGCCATCATCTTCAATGAATATTTTCGGTTGTTGTTCAAAGTCACACAGTACTAGATTGCAACATAGTACACACAGAAGGATGACGAAGGAAAATGTATACATATTAATAATAGTAATAATAATATAGTTTTTTCAAACTATTAAAGCTTAATTTTCAATTTTTTTGCACTCAAATATTATTTTCTTTATAATAAAATCTCTTTCAATCTAAAATCTCTTTCAAGTATTTTAATTATTTTTTACACAAATTTTCCACACAATTGAAGCCTCAACTTAGCAATTTTAAGACCGATTTTAACTGAAACGGAAACATCAAGTGTGGGTGTATTTATACCAAAAGGGGCGTTCAATATTATCAGTTCGGGACGTACGAGGTATTTTTTGACAAAAAATTTGTGCATTTTTTTAATAAGTGGTACCAAAAATATAATTTTAAATTCAGATAAATAAAAGGTATAAAATCATCTTTATATGTATATGCATGTGCAGGAATATCTTGAAAAATTTGCGTTATCTTGAAATTTTCTTCAACAACACACCATAAAATTACTTAATTCCAAACAGATTGCCTGAAGCCAGAAAACCGTTAACGTCTGTGATTAAATAATATCGACATTAAGTTCTGTTTGTTCAAATACGAACAGACAAGATCATATAGATTAATGCGAAATCAATAAGTGAGTATGATGAGAGTTATCTATTTTTGTGAATTTACAAACATTAGTTTGAAAAGCTCACATACAATTGATAATAAAAATTGGTTTGCTTTTCATTAAATATTAATAGCTGATTTGTCAATTCGTTTGTTCCAACTTAAATTGATTATGACAATTTAAAAAGGCAATCGAGTCATATTTAATCTAATATCGTGTTTATTATACATAAAACTAATTATATCACCGTCATCTAATAGATATTACTATGCGAAGCGATGACCTACCATATATGCTATTCGTCGCGTGGAATTATAAATCTTCTGACAAGTTGATAATCATTTAAATATACATATATACTCAAAGTCTATTATAAGAAATATAATCCGATTAAGCATAATCAAATTAAATATTATTATTACAGGGAGCAGCAGCGTATCCATGGAGTAGCGGGAAGTGTTTCAAGGAGATTCTGAAAGAATCTAAGTACTATAAAAACTATACAATTCTTATATATTCTTTTGTTAATATGCCAGTAAAATTACTTTCAAAATTGTTAATTACATAAACTTTAAAAATTTGTGCTCATAGTATTAGAAAACTGTTTTTACTTTATTTAACAAACTTACTTATTTATTTAGCACGAATAACCCCTTCTTAGGTTTTAGTCGAACATAACACTATTTATGTTCCGTGCGTATCTGCTTCAGCTATATACATCAAATGCGGTTAGTGCTATCTAAACTTAATCACGCCAAGAACAGTCTCCACTTAACTCTTCTTTCTACGGCTAACGTTTAAAGTACCTATTTTGCTGCAATATTTTATTCCATTTCATGACATGTTCAACCCAGTGAAGCTATTGAAATAAAGTCAATGTTTTGATAAAACTTGTATAGTTTGGTTTTCATTCGAATAGGTTTGCCATAACCTACTAAAAGAAAACCCATATCTTTAAAAAAAACTATTTCTAAAACTCAGAATTACTTCATTATTATAGAGATTGTGTCGGGTAAAAAACAAACTGAACCTGCAACGAACCGTTTTTGCAGAGGTTTAACTAGCCGGATCCCAGTTCAGTCCTATAATAAATTTATTTCTTTGGAGTAGTGAAAAGCTGAGACGAGTATGTAAGGATTGAGAAATGTTAATTTCGATTGTTACAGAAATGTCAAATTCAAAACTCGTGGACGATGAATTCGCCAAGGAATATACATTTCTTTTGCGTGGAAAAAATGGATTTGTAATAGAAATGTAAATTTCTACCACACTTGGAGAGGGTTGATGTAATGTAAATCATAATATAATGTGAAAATGGAAATTACTGTTACCTTGTAAACGTTAGCCGTGGACATTTAAAATTTCTACTTCTGCTTCTAACACACTTAGCACTTATTAGGACGTTCTGGATAACAGCTCGTTGCTTTACTAACTGCCCAGATTGCGTATTCGACGCATCTTTTACACTTGAGAAGTGCAATATGCATTATTGTTATATATTTTTTGAAACACCATATTTTTTGAAGAAGTAAATTTTCTGTTTTTATTGTAATGTTGGTGGTTGTTTTTAACAATTGTTTTGACAACAGTAATTCTTTGACTGATCTCCAAACTAATTCCGTATTGGTATTTATGGCAGTCCCAAAGTAGATTGGATCTCTGATTACTTTAGAAGTATCGCAAATTTAAAAATAAAATGAAGTCTCGTTTAACGCAAAACCTTATTTTTATTCAGGTTTATTTGCCTGACTGATGTTATTATCACAATTATATCTTTAAATTCAGATTTTTGCGAATTTCGCATTTCCTTGATTCCAGTAACGCGAGCCTCAGAGTTAAGAAAAGATTTCGCCAATTGAATAGGTGCGACTTTTGTATTGAGGGTTCAGATATTTCAAATACTTACCCATATGTCATAGCATTCATTTTTGTTAATATATTAGTACATTACTCAAGTATTAATCCAGGGTTACCATGTAGACATTGTGCGACGACTTGGATTGGGCACAATAAGAATTGTGATAATATCTTTCTATTAGAAGTGATGATTGTCACTTTCCATTAGAAGTGACAATCGTACGAGTATAACTACAAATCTTCCATTCGAAGTGAACCATAAAACTCATATTTTTATTGTTTTATTGTACTGTTTAAAGTGTCTGTTCAGTATATATGAAACTCTCTTTAATACGAGTTAAATATGATTCGTATTATAATGGAAAATTATTCATTCTTATTTATTTTCTTTGAGATTATTTGTGTTGGCATATAATCTATCACTCAACAAGTCGTGTGACTAAGTAAGAAAAATAAATTTTTTCTGCCAAAAATCAATTTTACTCATCAACATAATCTCCTTCAATGGCACTACAATCATTTCAATGCTTCTCTAACTTCTCGATGCCGTGCTTGTAGAAGGATTTGTCTTTTGCCTCAAAATAGGCTTTAGTTTCAGCAATTACTTTTTCATTTGAGATGAATTTCTTACCGGCAAACATTTTTTTGAGATCAGCGAACAGCCAGTAGTCGCTTGGGGCCAAATCTGGACTATACGGTGAATGAGGAAGCAATTCGAAGTGTAATTCGTGCAATTTGCCATCGTTTTTATTGACTTGCGACATGGTGCATTGTCTTGGTGAAACAAAATTTTTTTTCTTCGCCATATGCGGTCGTTTTTCCATAATTTCTGCTTTCAAACAATACAGTAATGCCGTCTAGTAGTTACTATTGATAGTTTTTCCCTTCTCAAGATAGTCAATGAAGATTATACCATGTGCATCCCAAAGTACTGAAGTCATAACCTTCCCCGATTTGCCTTTGATTGTTGTGCCTTTGGACGCTTCGGACGTGGTTCACCGGCTGCAGTCCACTCAGATGATGATCGTTTTAATTTCGGAATAAAGTGATGGATCCATGTTTCATCCATTGTCACATATCAACGCAAAAAACCTGATTTATTACGTGTAAATATGGCCAAACACTGCTCTGAATCATTAACACGTTGTTGTTTTTGATCGACTGTGAGTAAACGCGGCACCCACTTTAAAAAAAGAGCTTTCTCATGGTCAAATGTTCACTTAAATGGCTATCACTTTTTTTCTGACTAATCGAAATGTCATGAAATTTTACACATAGTCTTTTGAAGTTTGATACTTCATTAACGTCATATGGATTTGACAATGGCGGCGCCATCTGTGTTTCAGTTACACGACTTATTAAGTGATGTGTTATTCGTAGGAATGTTGCTGGATCTTACATATAAATATTCGTACGCTATCAGCGTATCAGACGAAATATGAGCATTTTTACAGGCCACTGTGGAGGCTGACAAGCGTTAGTGTTGCTTTAATATATTGGTCATTCGTTGCGAGTTCCAGAAAGAGGCATGCCAATGTGATAATTCTGTTGTTCCCACAGATTCAATATGGGTTGGCACATGGTATAGTGATAACATATTCAATTAACCAAATTTGTAAGGCAAGGTATATGACAAAGCACATATATCAGCTTGCTAATTTAAATGTATTAAGCAGGTATAATGTAAGCGCGGGTAATCCATAAAACTCCCATGAGTACATTTAGCCTCCAATTCTCAAGGTGTATTGGGTAACAAATCGAGTGATTTAGGTGCATTTACCGTAGCCGTGATGCTAAGATTTTGTGTAAAGGCTTAAAATTCAATTCAAATTCAGAACTTATACAAGTTTGAAGTGCCTAAGAAACCTTGAACATATTTTGTTATGTACTAACTTTGTTACTTACAATAAACAGGAAATAAAATAAAATCAAGTAAACTTTATACAACTTAACAGTCGAGGCCTCTCAAATCTGGCCCATGCGCGTAATTTCATTAATGGCATATTAATGCGATGTTATTAGATCGCCTAATTGCTACTAGCTGGACATCAACGTGTTTTTCTGGAAAAGTCTCATTTTTCCTTCGCAGTTCTCAACTTTATTAACGCGACTAGGTTACTTTTACTTTGGCTACTGACAAAAAAAACACGTTTGTTATTTATCCTTCAACTTACATGTAACTGGTTAAATTGGTATACTACTCTCATCGAGCTAAGTGGTTTGAGTGCCAAATTAGCAAATCTCTGTCAGATTAGATACGATCATAACAATGAATTTTTTTAATTTATTTAAAACTATAAAACATTGTTTAGATTAAACTATATACAAATAATTTTTTTTTTCAAATTTAGATCGTTCATCATATGTGTAAAAATTTAATGTCCATCCAGATCCATCGAAGTTAGGTGATTTCTTCGAAACAATTGCAACGTGACTACTAGGTACTTTTACAGCATCCCAAGCTCCTGCCCAATTTTGGCCGCATAGAGTTAAAAATACTTCTTCATAACCATTAGGTAAAATTTTATAAATGGTTACATTATCCAGCGGACAATTTACTTTGGATCCCATATCAAAGCCTGAAAGATTAACATTTTTATCAAGATATTAAATAATCGAAAACAAATAAACAAACTGGAAAAATAAATGCGAATATAGTTTGGTGAAGGTACTTTTATATCCCATCTACAATTAGAAAAGTTACGATCGTTGTCATAATAAGGGCTGGATAGTACTCCATCATTGTTGTATATTTCTCCACCACAACCTGCTGGTAACGACCGATTAACTGCTATGTACTCAATTTTTATATAACTGAAATGGTCTACATATATTCGTACAGCACTTGTGTTTGTATGTAGAGAACTTTCAGTAAATCTGTCTTGACATGTCTCCAATAATGTTTGATTTGTATGCAAGTCAATAAACTAAAAATTAATAATTGATTAATATAAGACTGTTTACATCAGAAGGTACTAATACCTTAAGTAAACTGGTGGAGCAGTTATATATGTTAAAAAATATTGATTTCATGTAGAAACTTATTTTGTAATCATCCGGCACACGTATATCATCCACACAATGTACCTCTTCAAATGTACCCCTATAATAATCGATGTGGTCATTTAATTTAGTGTAGCTGTTGTTACACGCTAAAAAAAAGAAAATAAAATAATAAAAACTATATAAATACTTGTTAACAAATGTTGTTTAATATTATTAATTTAATATTTTTTAATACATCACTTACTTTGTTGATGTTGAATTGTTATATTGAATCCAGGGTATTCAAAAAATTCGTCACTATGGAAGCTTAGAATAATGGACTTTTCCGAATCATCAATAGGAAGTTTGAAACCAGTTGAATTACCACAGTAGTAGGTAGATAACTGTATTAAAAAAATAACTCCAACATTTTAAAACAGATCTTAATTGATTTTATCATTGTAAGTCATTCAGAAAAATTGCTTCTATGGTTTATAAAGTCTTAATAAGTGAGAAAGAGGGCAAAAAAGTGCAAAGTAACTTGAATGTCTGTAAGGGCTAGAGACAAATGCATAGCGCTTATAGTAATAAACAAATAAAAATCGTGTAAGTGGTTTATTGTGTAATCATTAAGTATTGTCTTTACAAAAAGTGTGGTATTGAAATTAAACAACTAAAAATAAAATGTAATTAGTTAATTCAATTATTCTACAGCTACTTTATGATTTTGGTCTAATATAACACAGAATGAATTTGTTAATAAACTTTCACAGCAATTTAACAAAACTTCGAAAAATGCGCGAACATAAAAAAGTCAGTTGCCTTTGGGTACGTTGGCTAATGAACGCTGACCCTGAGCTTCAAATTTGGCAGGGCACAGGTACAATCCCTAGTATTTGCTGTCTTAAAAAATTATTTATGAATAGTTAAATACAAGAATTATTTCTAAGACCACTGATAATGGGTTTTTGGCAAAACAAAACAAAACAGCTGTATGTTCAGTCAAAAATTCAATTAATAAAAACATTAGAAATATAAGAATTTTTGTTGTTGTAGTTCACTACTTTTCACAAAACTTCTGCAATTATTAAAATAAAATTTAAAAACATAGTTGATTTGAAAATTAATATCACATTTATAATGTCAAAGTTACAAATATATTATGGTAAAATATGGCAATAATATTATAATTATTATTATAATTTCTCACTACTGCATGGATTGAGATTTAATTTTACATACTTCCAATTTCCTTCCGAAAGTCATTATCATGCAAACAGTTTTAATCATTTTAAATGCTCATTTAAAAATGTATCACCTATTGAGGCAATCTAAGACACTTTCCAGGTATTTTAAGATATTCAGTTTTAATCGTACATATGAGGTCAGATTCCTCTAAATATCTTTGAATAATTTCCTGCAATCACTTTAAATGATGTTGTCTTTATATACAATTTGTTTATATAACTGCAATGGTTTTGCATTAGTCCAGATTATATATTGAGAAAGACCTATGAATAACTATTAAATACAAACTAAAACAATAACTGAAATCGGCTTTACTTTGTACTCTGTTATTTTGTTCCTGTATTTACAAAAAGTCATTGTGTTATGTGATTTATATTAACCACTACGGTCGAGTAAAAAAATTACTATTTTGTTTTCATTTTTAATAATACTAACGATTGCACTTCGAAGCGGGATTCTAAATGCTAAACTTCAAGGTATGAAGAACACTTTTCTTAAAGTTTTGTCATTCATATGGAACGCAATTAAAAGAAATATTTATAGTACATTTCAGTGAAGAGTAATGAGTGGTTTGTTTCATATCTTTGTGTGCAGAGGGCAATTGTAGAGATATATGACTTTCTCAGAACTACAGTTGTAGCTTCGGCACATCAGGAATCACATAGTCTGCGATGCTTCGTACAAACTCTTGTTAAAGGAGAATACAACCATTCAATATGCAAATTTTATAATATTAATTAAAAGGTCATTTCAGTAAGTAATTGTGATTCATACTTACATATTCTCCTTGTATATGCAAATAGTCTAAACATTTATTATCCACTTGTGAGGCATTTTGTAAGAGAAACTTGTTGAAGTTTATTACAAAGTTAGATGTTGCTTTAATTTTCCACTTGCAATGTTTATTTGGTGGATAAAGTTCACTAGTGTTCTTCAGTGGAAATGCAATATTCAAAATCTAGAAAATTCAGGTTAAATGAATTTAAGTTAATACTTAAGACATCCTGAAACTTCATATATACATACCTCATTATTGTGTAGTACATATTCATCTGTTCCACATTCCGATTCAATCAAGTTCAATACAATTTCAAATTCGACCTTTCCCTTTTTATTGGTGGCATCAAATTTTATTAAGGCGTCTTCCACTGACGTAAATAATGATATGGTAGTGTGCACATCTTCACAATATTTTCCCATAGATAAACGTCGGTTAGCAGCGCTGTCCAGTATTTCAATAAAGTTACACAACTTACACTTTTCTAAAGTTCGACAGGAAGTTTGATTATTTATATGTAATTGTTTAAGTTGAATATTAATACGATAGCCTCGTGGTCCTAATATCCGATAGTGGCACAGTAGATCTTCTGTGACATTGAACTGTCGTGGTAAAGACACAATTGGATGATCGACTGAGAGTGTGATGCGTTCATTGCAATTTGGCATGAATATAATATTCGCAGAGAATCCTTTGGATCCAACACTGACATCAGATACAGCATTTATAACACCAGTATTGCTATCCAGCATTATGACTGGGGAATTATCTGTCATATTACCACAAAGTCTGGCCACACGTTTCTCGTCATTTAAATTCGTACCCGAATATAAAGCAATATAATCGAAGGAGCAACTAAAACTTTCTTCCATATCCAAATATTTGAATTTAACTACAATGGACTGATCTGGAGCTGCACGCAAGTACCAAATACAGTTCATATTATCTGCATACTGTTCATTTTCTTCATGTTGCAATGGATAAATAACAGTTGGTGATGTTATGTTACCACCACAACTGTTTAGTTTGAATTCCATTTTTAAGGAATCACCTCTGTCAAAGTATCCACTATATACTAATCTAAGATAGTTAGGAGCTCTTATTTCTGCATCATTACAATAAACTCCAGACGATATATCGGTACCATTAATTTTGCTTTTTACATATGCTGTAACACGCTCATAATTGCAGGTTTTTGCAGCAGAGAATCTAAGTCCCATATACAAATGGGCTATTATCAACTTTTCCGTTTCCGTTTTCACTGTTACCTCACATTGCGGACTGCCTATAAAACTGTTCGCCAATCGAGTGGTTTCCACGACTTGATTAAATTCGTCGGTAAGAACATGGACAACATTGCAGGTGGAGTGAACATTTATGGTGAAACCATCTCCAGTAGTGACATTATTCGTTCGAAAAACGATACGTATTCGCTTTGATTTGGTGTTATATGATTCAGGTGATTCACGACCGCAAAATGTTGCTGTTTTCACCCAAATGCCAGCTTCATAAGTCTGAATTTCTAATTGATCGTTTGTACAGTTTTCAGAATCTTCAATGAAAAATCTATAAACAAATGACAAAACTAAGTAATATCCATTTGCTGCATCAAATTCCCAACTGCATTCCATATTATTTTTATAAGTTTTGGAATCAACTGAGATTTTGGAAACTTGTCCTCGAATTGCGGTGGTACTGCCACATATAATATGTGTCTGTGCTTCAAGAATGAAATTGCTTTCCGATGTTTTAAAATTTTCAGCATGGTATAGGACATGCGTAAATAACTTGGATGTAGAAGTACCAGAAAAGTCAGTTACATCGCGACAAAATCGACCTATTTCCGGAAATAGATTTGACGGTCCTGCATATACAACCAAGTACTCTCGGTCACAAGTATCTGAAAAATTTATTGTACCATTTAAGTGGTAATATGTGGTGTAAGTTGCTCTTAAAATCCAAACACATTCTAGAGGTCCATAATTTTCAATACTAAATTCCGGACTTTTCAGTTGAAAACCGTTTGACAATTGCTGTACTCCACCGCATTCGTGACGGCGGAAGTTTACCATAAATTCCTTAAATTGCACAAATTCAGTTTGGAAGGTAATTATGGAGCCCCTCTTTGCAGAAGAAGAAATTACCATATTGCTAGCATTTGAAGTAAGCGCAACAAATGGTACAAATAGTTGCTCGTCCTTAAACCGTACCGGACTGATTTGGTAGTACGTATTGCTGTGGCCGTAAACAAGTGAGCTAATGTTAAATGTCAAAGTCTGATCGCCATTCTGATAAAATTGAGTGCGACAGTAAAAGTTCGTATAATTGAATTGATCCGCAGTTACAGATAAGAAACCGGAGGTAATATGAGTTGGAATATCCACCGGGCAGTGCGATTCATGGTCGGAAGAATAACGTGCATGTATTTTGCGTATTGAGTGAATTAATCGACCGATTCTAATTTGGATATACATTAAGTTATCGGTTGACTGTATTATGTTAGAGGAATTGTAGTCTTCAAAATAGAATTCAGTTATCTTAGCAATGGAATCGATGCTATTGAAGATTTTAAAATTAAGAGAATAGTTGACTTGAGAACGTGGTGGCGATCTGTCAGAAATATTGAGACAATAATACTTTAATAGTTTTAATGTAACTGTTTCAATTATATATAATATTTATATAGTTTAAATATATTAAAATTTTCTTACAGAAATAAACTGTTGGAAATATCACTCTGTTCTTCAATAGAATGTGGTGATATTGAAATAATTTAAATAATATTTTGAATGTAAAATGATTATAGTTAAAATAATTTATATTTTATACTCACGTTTCCGATCCATTATTTGAAACCAATCTATTAAATCTGTCAGTATCTAGGAGTTCGAAACGTACTACTTGTCCTTTTGGTACAGTAATTTTCCAACGACAAAATGTGGGCAATGAATTATCTCTTGGAATATCTAATTCAATATTACCAGATAGCCCGCTAACATATCGATAGCATGTACTAGAAATTCGTTTATAATTTATTTTAAATCCACGATAGTTATGATTTTCAAGAAATGTTGAAAATATTATCAACACTTCCTTCGCATCAATCTCCACTTGGGGTAATGTTTCATTTCCATATATAACAGTTACTAATTCGGTAGTGTTCTCATCGAGAATTCTGAATATATCTAGATGATCTGAATTATTTACATTATTATTATTGAACGGAATGTGTAAATCCGTGAAATTTAAAATCATGCGAGCATTTCTAATTAGTTTTATTGAATATTCACATATCGTATTTTTGGGATATGCACCAAGAGCCGGATAATTCGATGAGGTAATATCACCATACATTGAATTGTAACTTCCACCACACCTAGCAATAGAAGCATTTACACGAAAACCATTATGAGGTTCAGCGATATCGGTGAAATAATGTATGGTCAATATGTTGGATGTAGAGCGTACAATATTCGGACGCCTGCAAAAGCGACCTAAGTTAGGAGCCAAATCAGTTGCTCCATCAAATATCTCAATGAACTCTTTATCGCAATACCGAGTATTCATATCAAATCGATCTATAAAACTTAGTTGGAGTGTTTCTCCAGGTGGTCCAATTATGATCCATTTGCATTCAGTGTGTGGATGAGGTACGTTCGGATAACGTGGCGAACTAATATTTATGTAACTGGCATAGTGCGTTAAATAAATTTCTTCATCACACTCACTATACTCGCGATAGGTAATATTCCATATTTGGGCTCTGTTAAAAGTTATCCAAGAAAACGGTAAAACATATTTGATAATTGCATGATTGGTACTGGTTGTTAACAAATTTACAGTGTGACCAACTGCTTGACAAATATGACCAGGTGGAAAAATTGGTGCATGACTATCTAAGCCATCATATACTATCGCATACTGTGCACAGTCTTTATCAGTTGAAATTGTTCTATTAAACTTGAATTCAACGCTTATTTGCTTGCCTGGTCTTACCTCAATATGCCACAAACAAGTAAAGTTCATCAAGCGCGAACGCATGACATGATTTCCTATAATTGTGCCCACATTGCTGTTAGTTATGTTCGAGCCACATTCTGTAGTAAGGAATGAGGAGAACCCGGTTCCGTTGATACTAGCATCGCTCTTAAACTCTACCTTTAAATAGGGCGTGCCTCGTATTGTTGCAATTGCTTTATTTTCTTCCTTTTTGCTATTGCATACTTTCAGCTCTTCATGCCAATCCTCTAGATTACTGGAGGAAAAAACTCGCACGTTATCAGCACTACAATCTGAAATTTCTTCTAAGTCCAAAAACATTAATTCAAAGACAACGTGGTGAATATTTTCTTCCGGTTTGATTATATAAGTACAGTGCAGATTATCATCGTAGCCATTGGGGTAACCGGGTGAATTTAGTTTTACAGCTGTACTAAAGGATATTATTAAGTCTTCTCCACACTTATTAACTGTTTGGTTACTTCTCACAACTTCTTTGCTAACTGCACTCCAATTTATTAGAAATGGTTGTAATTCATCGTTAATAGAATTTAGGAAGACTACATTAGTGCTTGAAACAAATCTCCAAGGAGAATAAGGAATTTCTACTTTCAAAGCAATGTCACTAAACCCATCATAGAGCTATATATAAAAATTAAAAGGCGGTAAATGATTGAAAAATTGTAAAAATATTTATTTGTACTTACGTTTAAGCCACTAAGATACTCCTTAAACTCGAGTGTGATTAATTGATCTCGTGGTAGTTCTATTCGCCAACTATAGGGCTCTTGAGTAGCAATGGAACCAACTGGTGGTGATTCAATTATACCAGTTAAATTGTTAAATAGATTGTCGTGGGCTGCAAAATGAATGATGTGAATTAAATATTATTAAATATTAAATTTTGTATTATCCAAAAGGTATATGTAAAATATATATTACAGGAATGTATTTCTGTTTGTTAAAACGTATGAGTGCTCAGCAACTGATCGCTGTTCAATCCTAAAAAAATTCAAATCATAGGC